GACACCATGTGACTCTGTGTCTGTATATAGAGAACAGCTGATATAAAAATGCTTTAAATCTCATATATAATCAACTTTCTTTCAGTGCTTTTATTTAGATATTTGCCTAATTGTCTCAGTTCTTTATGAAATCAGCCATTAAACATTCAACCTGCTCTACCTAATGAAATCTTAAGGTGACATTAATGATTAGAGTCACAGCAACCAGGATAATTAGTTTATAAGAATATCTCCGGCTACTGATGATAGGCTTGTGGATTAAAGGCTTAATATTATGGATTTACATTATCTGGAGATCTGATAGAGGTTCCACAGTCTCCAACTTTATGCAGCACCCACTCAGCAGCTTTAAACTCCTGTATGTATCTGTGATTGTTTAATCAATGTAATCTTTACCGTCGCACAATAAAACAAGCCTGGTGACCGGCTGCCGGAGCTGGAAGTTTCCGATTGATCCGCTCGTTCGGAAATCATCAATACGGGTGTTCACAGAGGAAGAGCTGAGTGTTCATTTCCTCTCTTTCTCGTCTTGTTTCTAGCGGTCAAAGAAAGAGAGGAGATGAAACAAACTGCAGCAAAGAGGAAACACAACATCCTGTAGCGTTGGTTCAAAATCCTTATTTGTGAATTCCCAAGAGTCCGCTGCTTTTCATCCACTGCAGCAGCTGTTTCACTGATTTGAGAAGTCATCTGTAAGGAAGAACTCTTTTCTTCAGAAATCAGAGTATCACAGTAGCCTACTGCCTGCAGACTGACCCTGTGTTACTCTTGTGCAGTTTCTATCTACCCATCCGGGTATTCGCACTTATGTACTCAAAATAGTTAGTATGGAAGTGTTTGAACAACAGTGCTGACATACAGCACAATGTACTGTATGTGCTAGTCTGAACCTTTCAATTAATAACCCCACAAAATGTAACGCTGCTTGTCCCTGGAAGTAATGCTAACATTAGCAACTTATGTCAGAATTCAAAACGACTTATTTTTCTTTGCTCCATCTCCAGAGGAGTTGAGTGCCCTTTGTAAAAAAACCTTATTTTAGACTCAGATAAAGATAATCCCCCTTTTTAACAGCCGTTATACTAAATGTTTTCCCTCCAAATGCCTGGGAGGGATTTTGGATTATCCCCACTTTAACTTGTGCACTGAACTCGCTGCGAGCTGTTGAAATGTGTCGTAACTCGTGGCCCACTTCAGCCGCCTCGCCATCATACATTAGTGCTCGCTGATTGGCTTGATGCTTGACCTAATTATCTTAAGTGGCTCTGTTGAATTGCAGACCTCTTGACGATCTAATTTGAATGGTACGTGACTTTTTACGAGACGACTGTATCCCAGAGTGTCACACTGGGATTTGTGTGGATCCAAAGGAAAAGTGTGTGTAGTCTGTTTGATTTAAGATAAAGTTAACTGTTATTTCTCAGGTTTAAATGACAGGTTCATCTTCCGATTGTTGACGAACCTACAGATACGTGTTGTTCCTGCCCTGCTATAGTTATTTTTGTCCAGCTCCTCATTTTGTAGTTAATCTGAAACAGAAGACACAATCACAACCTGTAGCTGCTTGTCACCTTTTTTTAAATAAGCTCTTTAATTAATTTTCTTACAATATGACTACTTTAAAGGTTACTCTCCCACTCCTTCTATCTCATTTGGCTGGAATTGAAAACCAAATGAGCCAGAGAGACTCCAGAAGGTCATTATTATAGTTGGTATACGTTTATTATTTTTAAGTTTCCAGTTATGACATTATGTATCCATTATGGGCTTTATCTGACCTCTGCCAGTTTTAGCACTGCAGTTCTAAAAGGTTGAGTGACTCACAGGAGACAGAGTTTTTAAAAATAGAGATCAAAATAAAAGCAGCAGAGATATCCTGAATTTATTCTTCTTTACCCATAATGCAATAGGCCGGTTTTATTAGATCCTTACTGCAATGTGTGACGCACAACATAAGTATATTTTATATAGTTTTCTGTGCAATTGTGTAAGAGTTTAATTTATTTTTGTATAAATGTGTGTGTTAGCTTAGCTTCTCATTCATACTGTAGGTGTGTATTGGAGTTCAATGTTGCCATGTACAGTTTTAAAGGAATAATTATTTATATATTTTGGGATATATGTTTGTTGACAGTCAGACTCTCATGTCTGTATATACCTTTCAGATCACATCATCAGTTATATTGTTAACATAGAAACAAGAATCAATTTCTTTGTATTTGTATTGCATTTTTCTTCCCGTAAAACAAAATGTGACCAGATTTCAACCTGTGATATGATATATATATATATATCCATCAATCATCTTAAACTTTAAGCGACACAGAGCGAAGATTCATTAGTTAGCTGACTTCCTGGAGTCTCCTCTGGTTGCCTGGCAACAGCTCAGAGGCAACGCACACTTTAGAGGTGTTGGTGGGAGGATTTTGCAACTGTTTCTTAGCCTGTTTCCCCCATTTCGAGTCTTTGTGCTAAGCTAAGCTAACTGGCTGTAGCTCCATACTGAGGGAGTTCCCCTTTAAAATCTCACCTGCAAGAAGCTTATAGACGAAACCTTCTATTTTCACCGCTAATGTAAGTCTGTTCAGTCTGATGCTCCAAGTGAAAAGAACCAACTCTTAATGGCAGTAAAGGTTTTTATGCACCGCTGCTGATCTTTGTACCGGCGAAACTAACCTGCATCTGTAACTTAATCAGTGCTGCTTTTATAACAGTGAATAACACAGGTGATCTGAATTAACCTTCAGGCAGTGAAATCGAAGGACTTTGTCTCCTGCAAAAAGCAAGATCAACCTCGTGTCCTGACAGCATGAAAAGGATCTGCAGAGTGTGTGTGGGTGG